GGTTTGTCCTCCCAAGTGTGGGACCCAGGTGGTGAAATTGGGCTGCAGAATAGTGCCCAACACTTCAGTTTTAATGCGATGCCAGTGAAGTTGCTTTGTAATTTCTTTTAATTTTATTCTCTAGGAATCACCTTGAGGACAAGATGATAGTTTAGGGGGGAGTATTGTTAGACCTTAAGAATTACTAGGAACTAAAACTGAATGTGGTTGTTCTATTCTGTCAGCATCATTTACAGGCATATGAGCAGCCATTATAGATAAGGGAATTTCTTAAGCCACCCCTATATAATGAAAAATACCTTTGAAAATCCGAAAATACCCTTCGGATATGTATATCCGAACGCACCTTAAATCACATTTCAAGATGTTTCGGATATGCATATCCGAAATCTCTTTTTTTTCAACGTTTTATTATTTAAACGTTGGATTTAAAATGTCAGAGGTGATTTCGGATATGCATATCCGAAACTACCCTTGCTATATTAGTTTTCTGCATGGTCACCCCTACGACTATTTCATTCACTTCCTTCCCCCCATAACCAGTATCCTCCACAAAACATCAACTATTCTCAATTAATTTTTCGTCTCCAAACTAAGTTTCAAGTGTTTGATCATAGCAAAGAGAGCATAGAAAACTGCAATTTGAGGTAAAGTTTCCTCATTTCATCTCACATTCCTTGCATTGATGTTGATTTTAAGATGAAAAAAACAGCGTCGCTTTGGATATACATATCCGAATTCGGCAATCAGGTGTCTTCGGATAAGCATATCCGAATCAATTTGAAAAAAAAATTAATCGTGGTGATTTCGGAGATGCATATGCGAAGTCACCTTATCTTTGTAACTAAGGTGAGTTCGGGTGTGCACATCCGAAGTCTGGGGATATTTTTGGTTTTTCGCCAAGGGCCTCCTAGAAAACATATGGGTGGAAAAAGAAATTCCCTATAGATAATATGAGCAGCCATTATAAATGTTATTTGTAGTGGTTATAGAGTCTAAGAGTAGCCATTAGTATTATTAGAGTAACATAACCATGTTCTGATCATGCTGAAAATTAGGAAGAGGTTGTATTTGGGAGGGAGATCTCATTCTTGGAAGGGAGAGAACCAAGACTCAAATTTCCTGGAAACTCATTGTAGTTACTATTAAATTTTATTGTTTGATATCTGTTAAGAGTCCCACATCGGACAATATATGACCTGAACATGTCTTTATAAGTGAGAGCAATTTTCATCCTACAAACCGGTTTTGTAGGGATGAGTTAAGTCCAATCACATTTCTTAACATGATATTAGAGCCTCGTTTAAGATCCGGTGGGCCACCTGTTATTAGGTTTCCGCTATCAGGCCACCCACCATTTATTTCTACACTCCAGATGTCCAATCCTGGGCGTGAGTGAGTGTGTTAAGAGTCCCACATCGGACAATATATGGCCTGAACATGTCCTTATAAGTGGGGGCAATTTTCATGCTACAAGCCGGTTTTGTAGGGATGAGTTAGGCCCAACCACATTTCTTAACATGATATCAGAGCTTCGTTTAAGATCCGGTGGACCATCTGTTATCAGGTTGCCGCTATCGGGCCACCCAACGCTCTAGATGTCCAGTCCTGAGCGTGAGAGGGTGTGTTAAGAGTCCCACATCAGACAATATATGACCTGAACATGTCCTTATAAGTGGGGACAATTCTCATCCTACAAGTTGGTTTTGTAGGGATGAGTTAGGCCCAACCACATTTCTTAACAGTATTAGTTTTTATCTGATTACAGACTGAGGGGATTATGGAGTTAGAATTTGAGATAGGGAGTTAGTTAGGAAAGTTATTTGTTAATGGTGTAGTTAGGATTATCATGTATAAATAGGGAGGTTATGGAGTTAGAGAGGAGATCATTGAATACTGTGATTGATTATTGACTCTATTGTGAAGGGGAAACCCTTGGAGGAGAGATTTCTCTCGTTTTCTCTTTTATCCTTTTTCAACCTTTCAATAAATTTGTTCATTCCTCAAAAAAAAATAAAAATTGTTCATTCTTTTCATTTCAACTCTTTGGTTCCCAACAAGTTTCCAATTTTCCCTCCATAGGTTTTAAAATATTTGTTGACTTTACCTATATGTTTTTCTTCCTTGCTCTAGATTTTTTCTTCTTCTAAGTTTACATGAGCATATAACTTATATAACGTAAAGGCACTGCTAGCCATTATATTATGTTTCCTTGTTCTTTTCTATTATTTGCTCTAATAAACATATTCAACTTTGTTGCTTTCAGGGGTTTGTTTCAGCAGTAAGTCACATGCGCTCATTTGTTCCGGCCGTTTATGACGTAACAGTGGCAATTCCTAAGAGTTCACCTTCTCCTACAATGCTAAGACTCTTCCAGGGGCAACCTTCAGTGGTGAGCTATTTTTTATTCAAAAACCTTTAATGTAAATTCGTTGCTCAGTGTTAGTCTTGATTTATGAATTCTCTCGTGTACTACCGAGTGTATATCATTGTGAACTGAGGTCAAAAGGCCTGGTTTGAATTAGCTTTTAACTCATGGGCACTTCTCAACCTACAAATGTATTTGATTCCGAACTTTCAAAAAAGCCCTTATAATGTATGTTATAGGATTATATATTAAAAGTTTCATAGATAAACATGGATAGTGTTATGGTCAAGTGGAGTTTTCGAAATAAAATTTTATACATATTTTAACTAATATAATCATGTTTACCTACCTTCTAAAAAGAATTTTGGGATGTCAAGGCCACCCCCTGTCTCTATGTAGCTCTTCCCTGCTTGGAGATTTCAAGTAGGCTACTTGTTTTATGGAAAACCACAGTAGTGCCTAGGGGACTTCAGAGGCACTGTTGTTGTTTGTAGAAAAGAAGAGATGTAACTTGGCAATTTGGTACATGTTTTTATTTTGTAGAATGATGGGGCTTTTTTTAGGAATTATCGTAGTTTTCTATATAATTACTTGGAGTCTTTGCAAGAGGATCCCTTGTCTTTCTTACATAGTATTATTAGCTATTTTTTCGTTATACAACTTCACATTTGATTAGGATTGTCCTCATCTGAACTCTAGGTGCATGTGCATGTTAAGCGGCATTTGATGAAGGATTTGCCGGAAGCAGATGAAGATGTTGCACAATGGTGTCGAGACATATTTGTGGCTAAGGTTTGTGTTAATTGAATCTTTCTATTATTTGTTTATATTTTTTTGTTGCTTTTTTAAGCCGGGTAGACACGAATGTGATTATCGTTTGTACGTCCTAGTATTTATTAAGATCTTATTTTACACACTTCTGTGAACACCATATTGATTTCCTGGGCACCCCAGGATGATTTGTTAGACAAACATATAGCTGATGACAAATTCAGCGATCATGAGCCGCGGGATCTCGGTCGACCAATAAAGTCTCTTCTGGTAAGATACTTCCTCTGAACAAGCCAAGAACGTATTATCCTTATCTATTAGCCAGCTATTCTCTATTGTAGACTGTAGTACACTATTTGTAAACAGCATCATGGTTATTTGCATGGTCAATAATCAACTTCATCTTTGGAACAAACAGGTTTATATAACATGGGTTATCGTGGTTGTTGCGGGGACCGTTAAGTTGCTTCAATGGTCATCACTACTATCCTCTTGGAAGGGTATTGCATTTACAGTATTTAGTTTGGCAATTGTGACTGCACTCATGCAGATCATGATCATGTTCACACAATCTGAGCGTTCAAATCCTGCCAAAGTTTCGCCTTCGAAGCCCAAAAGTAGAGAAGAATTGCAGGGTAGTGATGACAAACAAGAGTAGATCAACAAACACTATACCCAAATATTCTATACATAGGGAACTTATTTTGCAATGACGTGTGGATTATTTTGGTTATGAAATTCCAGCACCTATGTATGAGCAATATTCCTTGTATTATGCACACAGATCCATTCATTATTTTCAAATTAGGGTTAATTTGTATAGACACTGTAGGATAGGATGGCATACAAAAAAAATCTTGCATTATTTTTGTGGGTACTTAGATACATTTGAATGTTGATTTTTGTGGTTATCTTTGACTCCTCTTCTAAACGTGTTTTATGTGCTTGACAGTCTCTGCCTTTTCATTTTGGTCATGAGGACTACAGTCGTCAAATTAATGTACATAAAAAAAAAAAAGTGAATTTCTTAATCTATCCCATGAATTTCTTCCGCAACACGTGAAATTCTATATTAAAATTCGAAATATATTTCCAGTGTGCACCTAGATCTGATAAAGTATATATAGAAATTGGAAATTTAATTTCGGTTTAGAACCGGAAGTATGCCTCTGATACCGTTTTTTACATTTTGAAGGGTTAAACTACATTTTGGTCTGTTTTGTGTAAAATATGGTACGAATCAGAAATGCATTTTCGATTTTTCGAAAGACAATTTTGGAATTGTATAGGGTATCCTTTTTCATTTGGGGTAAGGTAAGAAATTTCCTAAAAGAATTCTTTAGAATTTTATACCTCTCATATTTCACACAATTATTCACTTGGATGTCAGAATGTTTGGAAGTACCGTACAGGACAAATCTTTAAGCTCATAACATCTATAATAGACTATATTCTCCTCAGAGAAGAAGCTTCCTTAACGGTTTGATCAAAATCTTATTATTTTTGAAAAAATATTTTGATGTTTTAATTGATTCTTTCTTATTTGAAAATTGTTTGTAAAAAATCATGAATTTCAAGAATTGTTTTTTTTTACAAACACATTCATGGGCAATGTTGAAGGATGGATATTGAGTCTTACGTATTTCATGATACACTAGAAAACTAAAACTATTACACATTTTCAAAAAAAAAAACAAGTAAATGTTGCCTTAGACTCTATTAAGTTTAGGATATCACACCTCAAGTAAAAATATAAGATATAGTAATTACCATTACAACACCATATTTTGATTTTTTTTTCAACATAACATGCAGCACAATCAGATACCATAATTAACAGGTTTTATGGCTGATCGTTTTACTAAATGGTAGGAACGTTAAACATATGATGGTGTGGTAGCTTTTCGGCCACCAAGAAGTAGAAAAGTCCCATTACTCCAGAGTGCCTTATGCTGTTGTTGTATTTAGCTTCTAGAGTTAAAGTTTCACCATCAAGTATCTTGATTGAGCCTAACTGAGGGTAGCAAGTGGACATTCCTACGACATATCCTTTCTCATTTCCTGCTTCACTTCTATTTCCATATATTGGGATTGAACTACATATAACCTTCCCATCCTGAAATTTTTCATGATCAAAATGATAAGTGTTCAAAGAAATAAGATAGTTTAATTATAAAAGCTAAGCACATTCATACAAAATAGCAAGAAGATGCCTAAAATATATACATATTTAGAACTCTTAATAGTTTTATAGGAAAAGCTAAAATGTTTTAGAATGGTGAGTTCAATTTAACAAAACTTTATAAAATCACCTTGTAAGTTAAGGATTATTCTCACTTATAATATATAATCAGATTATATGTCAAGAGTTATAATTGTAGTTTTGCTATAGCATCTTGTATGATGAACATGCAAATGTCTCGAAGTGTCCACAATTGATGCTAGACCGTCACTAATAACCTTTAGTGTTTTTTTTTTTTTCCTTGTTAGCGTTTGTTTTTGACCGTTGTCTTTAAACAATTTAGTCTCTCTCACGCCCACTCCTATTGAGTTTGGTGTGCGACTATAAATGATGACTGATTAGATAACAAAAATCTAGTAGCAGGCGGCCTAACAGATTTTAAACTATGCTCTAATACATCTTAAAATTTTAATTGAGTCTAACAAAATCGGTTTGAAAGATATAAATTATTCCATTTATAAACATATATTCAAACCGCATATTATTTGATATCAAACGCTTAAAAACATAGAATTCAAAATGTTAAAATGATTGAAATTATTTAATGTTACCTTTCTATATAGAGTTGTTCCAATTGAACCTACATGCATATGACCAACTCCATAGACAAAATAACCACCATTTTGCATTGGGAAGCTTGATTTCCTCACATCAACACAATCACTACCATTCACATTACTTTTGCTGCAAGGTTCAACTTCATATTCTATCTTGCAATCATGCTCTACACTCTTTCCTTTAGACTTATCCAATATCTTCAAACTATCTGTTACATCAATTATATAAATCTTGGCAGGCACAATAAAGGTATCCCAATTCATCCATATAACTGTGTATTTCAAATAAATACTTCTCTTTGAACCTAAAAACCCTTTCACCATCTTGCACTTGCTATTATCAGGACAACACTGCAAACCTCCTTTATAACCTGGACTCAAAGCTACACCATCTTCATCTTTTGTAACATTATACAAATCACACTTACACTCAATGCACCCCATCTTATCTTCCACACCCCTTGTATCAATAGCATGAATATTAAACATCCATTTCTCCACATACCCTTTTGGAATTTCATCAGGATTACCAACTTCTATCCCATAAGGATCCGGAATATATGTTTCTGTACCTCTTGTTTCAGATCCAAGACCATAGTATTGTCCAAAAACATTCTCTTGGCAAAATCCACTATTTCTCACAAAAGTAATATTTGATTGGCTATCATGTGTCACATTTTTGGGTTGGTGATATCTTAGAAAAATCCAATGATGTAGATAAGTTTGAGAGAGAGGTATAGAATTTCCTGCATCATCAACTAGTTCAGCGTTGAAACTCTTGAGTGAAATATGGCCTCTCGGAAAATCAACATCGAAATATAGTTTGTTGGAAACAGATCCTGGACTTAGTTCAATCTTGGGAGACAGAAAAACATTTGTTTTGATGTTTTTATTTGTCTTCCTAGAAACAGCTGATGAGAATGGTGTGCATGACAACAACACTAGTACTAGTATTGTCAATGAAAGCTTCCATTCTTGAGATACAATCCTCATGTTGATCTGAGTAATGGAAAGCACCTCAAAGACCAGGAACAAAGGAGTAACAACTCTAGTAGCATTAATATATTACTAAGTGATGATTCAATTGTTAAGCTTGAAAGGTATATATAAAGATTGAATAATGTTATTGTTGAGATGTTCAAAGCCATGACGTTTACCAAATACATGTAATGAGTTTAATAAAGCATGCATGTGTTTGAATGTTTCATTGCTTTTGACTTAGTATACATTCGGTGGAGTGAATCACTTTAATAAAAAGTAGCGGCAGTGACTTTAAATCCAATCGACAAATGTCATATATTCTCGTCTATCCAACGTTGTGGCCTCATCCTTCAAGCAAACTTCCTAGTTGTTTCAATATCAAAATAAGCCGGCAATTTCTTTTTCCACCTGTATGCTTTCTCAAAAAAAAAATTTGTTGAAAATTCAAAAATATTTTTAAACATATTTCTTATTATATTTAATTTTAATTTTAAGACGTATCTTCAAAATTATATCAAACATAATGTATATTTAAAAATAGTTCTGATATTAAAAAAATAAATAGAAACGGTATAAATATCATTAGATAATCAGAAATTTGTTATTGATAATCATAACAACTTGATATTAAATTAAAACACTCAACATTACATAGATAATTGATAATCAGAAAATTAACATTACATATCATTATAAACGGGTAGTTCAGAACGCTGGAACATATTGATAATATTTTTGACGGATCTTGTAATCTTCACATTCACTTTAATCAGATCATTTGTTGCATATCAGCGAAAAGTACTCTACATAACCTCTAAATCAGTATCCGTCTTCAGTTTGAAGTCGGTGAACTGTATTTTCCCGATATTGTCAAACGAGGGTAAACGATACTCGAGCTTGACAACTTGCCAATTTTCTAAATATCGCAGGAGAATATTCAGTTTGGATATTAGATTGCCGAGAGTTATGTCCTCGCATATCCTAAACTAAAGTGACGGTTTCTGACATTAGATGTTTTGTAGAAAATATGGGATGAGAGACACCCTATTTTTACAAGGTTTGGATCACTTTAGACCTTAGAAATCTTATCATGTCATCAAAGCAATTTTTGGAGATGCATACTCAAGTCTTACTATTTTAGAAAAAAAGTTTATTCGATAATGCACATCCGAAAAGTTCCATGTTTTTTTAAAAATTAGAATGGGGTTTATCCGGAATCAACCATGAACCAAAAGCAAACAAGAAACTTAGAAAACATAAACAAAAGTTGTAAACTATAAAATGTGTAAATAAAAACAATCGACATTTACACCATAATTACTGAATAAATATTACTTAAGTATTAAATTGTATCAAGATTACATCGTTGACGATAATACATTCACAAAAAATGTATCGATTACAATCTAAAATGCATCACAACATAAATCTACAAGTGATTTGGAGTCAAAAAGTTGATTTAGAATGAATTTTTTTTAAGGTTTTTGGGTTATGGAGGAAGTTTGAAACATGGGAGGGATGATCGTGCAATGTGGTGACATATTCAATTTTCCGTTTGACATTTTCAGAGATGCATCTCCAAAAATTTCACTGAATGATTAAATGCTAAACATTAATGAAAAACTTGAAAATGGGTCAGGGATATTTCTAGAGTGCGTTCGGAGACGTGATCGATGATTTTTACACAGTTATTTACCATTGATTTTAGTTATCTTTTCTTGTTATTGTCAAACATTTTACTTCATGTTTCCACATTTTATGCATTAGTTGTGTCTCTTTAGTGTTTTCAAGTTCAAATGCTTTTGGGTCTTTTTGAAAAGGTATTGTGTGTTTTGCAAGTAAAAAATATAGAAATTTGAGCAAGAGTCGTGGAGTACTGGCCATGTGCATGCCCAAATGTGTGTGGAATGCCAAAATTGCATATTCCTACCTAAATGCATGCCCAAACACGTGCCAAGTCATACATGCAGTCATAAATATGCCTCCCTGCCTACGTGCGTCCCCACACGTGTGTTAGATGCAAGAGTCCAAAGAAAACATGCTCCTTTGGTCAAATGCGTGCCATCATCTCAAATGCATTCCAGCATGCATACCAAACTCTCACGTGTGTGTCAGCGTGCGTGCCAAATGCAAGGTAAAGCGCCCTCTGGCCAAATGCGTTCCAGCCTTCCAGACGTGTGCCAGTTTGCCATGTGCGTGCCCGCCTCCCATGTGCACGCCAAAATGCATTTCTCTGCCCAAATGCATTCCAAAATGCGTGTGGACGTGAATTTTGTGGATTTTTGTATGAAAGCCCATAAACATGAATAAAAGGGAGAGAATGATATTTTGGAAGGGTTATTGAATTTTGGAGAGGAATTTTGATGGCAAAGAAGAAGGTTGAAGGCTGAAGAACTCAGATCTATGCCTAGAATCAAGATTTTCATGAGCTTTTTCAATTGAAGATTTGTTTTCCATCCATTATCTGTAATGTCTAAACTGAATACTATTTTTTCTTTATTTCAATGAGTAGCTAAACCCCCAAATGCTAGAAGGTGTCCCTGATTTGTATTTGTATTGAATACGATTATATGTGTGCAATAACAATCTGGTTTATTTCATATTTGATTTGTTCTCTTACTGCTCTTATTGCTTTCACTGTCGAACAAACGAAGTTTGATGTGTGTGATACAATTAAGATGGACAACCATTGTTCATGATCTGTTTGAGAACATATTATTATAGATATCACACCTAAGACTAGGAATACCCTTTAATAATCATATTATTCTTGATATTATAATGCTTGATTTCAACTGTAATTTTCTATGGACATAATAATTGGGTTGAATGATTTTAAAGATTTGCTTCGGAAGGACTTTAGGGTAATTAACCTTAAGAACAACCGATAATTAATGAATTCAAACATGTTGCACTGTATGGTCAGAGTCATTGCATAATCGAGTCATACACCGTCCCTAACATACTACTCATATTTGTTTTAACAGCTCACATACTTTATTTATTTTTATTCACAATTTATTTCATACGTCTTAAAATCCCAAATCATAGTTTTTATTTAATTGAAGTGAAAACGTACTCTATAGTAATTCACAGTCCTTGAGATCGATATTTGGGAAATTCCCTACTATTACTATATTGGAAAAATAATATACTTGCTATTTTACCGATCAAGTTTTTGGCGCTGTTATCGGGGATTGCCAAAATATAGAGATTAATTTGAGGTCAATTAAAATTTTATTGCTCTCCAACTAAAATTTTATTTTTGTTATTTTTATATTTTTGTTATTGCTGATTTCTATCTAATCTTTGTATGCAAGGAAAGCCCTCAACTGAATTTCTTTTTGACACAGAAATCAAAAGAACATTTAACATAAGGCGTATACAAGATCGATTATCCAGACTGGCCTCTGACAATGACTATTTAGTTTAATAACAGAGTTAGAGTCGGAATCAGAAAAGGAAATACCAATGGGAGAAAATCCAGCAGCACCCAAGAGGCTCCTTGGTGACTATGGTGGGACAAATGCACCGGCTGGTAGATTTACAATTGTGAACCAACCGGTGAATGTGCCAACTTTTCAACTGCATCCGATCACGATCACTCAACTCGAGAGGAGGTCCTTCTCTGGAAGGGTAAACGAAGACGCTAATAAGCACTTACAAAGGTTTTTGACCATGAGCACAACATTGAAGATTGATGGTCACACTGATGAAGAGAAGAAGTTAGGAATGTTTCCATTCACTTTAGCGGATGAAGCTGAAGAGTGGTTTTATTCATTGCCGGCTGGAAGTATTACTTCTTTAGAAGAGATGAAAAAGAATTTATTAACAGAGTATTTTCCAGCGTCGTTGTTCATGAGAAAAAGGTATGAAATCCTCAACTTCAAGTAGAAAGAGGGTGAGTCATTAGGAGATGCTTATAAAAGATTCAAAAGAATCCTAGTGGCTTGTCCTACTCATAATCTAGATTAGACTGAGCAGATACATATGTTTGTTAATGGTTTGAGGATCAAGAATAAGCAGTTAATTGGCACAACAGTTAGTGGCTCATCTAATTTTTCAACAGCCGTTGGTATTAAGAAGATAATTGAAGCAATTGCTACAAACAAGCATTTGGAGTTGTATGACAGGGTTGCAAGCAAACCAGAGGGAGTGGTTGATTTGAAGTTAGAACCAACAAACAAATCAAAATTGAAGAGACGGTTGCTGCAGAAGTGGAGAAAAAGCTGAAGGCTATGAACATAGGTATAAACAGGTAGCTCAAGTTCAGCAAGCACAAAATGATGTTTGTAAAATTTGTAATGGACCACACATTACTGTGCATTGTCTTGCAACTCCACAAAAAATTAAAGAGATCAAGTTCTTGAAACAGAATAATCCGTATTGGAACACATATAATCCAGTGTGAAAGAATCATCCCAACTTCTCCTGGAAAGAACAAAAACAACAAGCCCTCAAAAGGCAGAGTGTGAGGTAGATATTGAAAAGATGGCTGCCTATAATTCTGAATTTCAGAAAGAGACAAGGAGCAACCACATGAATACCACAACTTCTATAAAAAATTTGGAAGTTCAAGTGGGACAAATAGCACATCAACTATCTCTGCAAGCACAAGGCTATAATAAAAGTCATGAGAATGTTAATGCCGCCACAACAAGAAGTTATAAGAGGTCAGAAAGTGAAGAAGAGAAGGTATCGAGTGACGAATATGTTATAGAGGTAGATCTGGAAGTCAGAGAAAATAGGAAAAAGTAGGAAGAAGTTATACCACCTATGAAGCCAACTGAAGAAAAAATTAAAAAGGAGGCTAAACTGGTGATTAAGCTGCCGTATCCCTCTCAAGTAGTAAAGAAGGACCCAAAACAAAAAGAATTTGAGAAATTTGTCACAATATTCAAAAAGTTAGAGATCAACATGCCTTTCTTTGAAGCTCTTTAGAAAATGCCTATGTACCAAAAATTCATGAAGGAGATACTATCTAAAAAGAGACCAATAGGGGATGAACCGGT